GTGCTTTTCAATACAGTTTATTAATAATTTGATTGAAGTAGAGAAAATGCTTATGAGCACTGCAGCTGACTTAGCTGGAATTAACTAGTGAATAGATTAAAAGAAATAAAATTTCAAGCAATCTGGATAAATTAGAGAAATGGATTTAAAAATAACTGCAATTTAACAGAGGAATATGGAGCCATCACTAAGAAAACACACACAAAAAGCACAGATATAGAAGATACATAATTTGGTAACTACATTTGTGATAATATCTTTCAAAAGTAACTAATTGTAACTAAATTTTCTGCGTCTTAAATTTTTCTCAATCTCTCTCCTCTTTACGGAAACAAAAAACAAAAAAGGAGAAAATGTTCACATATCAGCTTAAGGTAACTAAAACAGCTTTTCAGAATGGCAATCATACTGTATTTACATCAAAGAGGTTCACAGATAAAAGGAGGTATAATCTTAATTCATTATCAGAAATATTATTGCATATTTATGAATTCAAAAACAGTTCAGCACTAAAAGCCAAAACAGATTGTGCTGCTAGCTGTGCTTTTTTATTTCTTTCATTCTTTTCAAGAATTCTGAGAATTCTGGGGCATTTCTTATAAAATGAAAACAAAAATTAAATTCTGATGCTAGGATGAAGGATGTAAATCCAAAAACGATCAAGAAAAACATCTCTTTTGCTCTATGTTTAGATAATGTCAGTCTCAAACCCTGCAAAAGGCTTCCTTCCTTTTTAAAAGCAGTACTATCTTTGGTCTGTTGTGAAGAGAAAAAAATCATCTGTTGCCTCCAGAGTTTTGGCAAGAAGGGGTGAGGCTCTTTATTCTCTTTAATTCTTGTTCCTTTCACCAAGTTCTAATTTGTTTTTACACTTGCAAAAGTGCACAGTTTGTACTTTTTTCTTTGAAACTAGAGTAAAACCTCTCTCTAGTTGGGCATTCCCACGATGTATGTCTTTCCATTGCATAACTTAAGTATTACACACCAATTAATTCAAATTACAAAGCAAAGTAAACAAACATTCCAGATGGTAGGACCTATTTCACAATAGAATTAATTGCATCAGAAGATGATGGACACTCTATCACTAAAAGTTTTCAAACACAGGCTAGAATCAGTCCTAAGGGGTGCTGAGCAGTGGCTTTCTTATATTAATGGGAATTGAACTGTATAATTGAGAGCCATTCCAATTCTATGATTTTTAGAAGTTTTGCAGTCCACAAAGTATACTAGCATAAAGTATACAATATCATTCTGCTGTACATTTGTACAGACTCACATCTGTTTAGTTGTTCTTTCAATTGTTATCATCATTTGCCTTTTCCATGTTTTACATTTCAAAAATTTGTGGTATAACCCCTTTAAATTATCCTTCCTATGGCAATATCCTTTTATTATATATCTGACACAAAATTGGTGGGAAAAGCTCTATTCATAAAATATTCAGGCTGTTTATAGGTAGTTCTATAAACAATTAGCAACCATTCAAAATTACAACAGCACTGATACAATGACTTGCAACTGGTCCTCACACTCACAATAATCAAGTGTTCAAAATTTGGACACTGGCAACCAGCATGTATTTACAACAGTTGTACTTCCTGGGGTCACTTGTGAACTTCCCAGCTGCCTTCTGATAAGCAGTCAATGAAGGAAGCCTGAACTTCACTTAATAACAGCATAATTTATTTAAGAACTGCAGTGATTCACTTAACAACTATGGCAAAAATGGTGTAAATCAAGTGTGACTCACTTAACATCTGCCTTATGAGTTGAGGACTGTCTGTAGTTATTTTGCATTATTTATAAAAAGAGATGTGCCACAGTAAGGCTGTTCCTTAACAGAATTGATTAAAACTATAAGTCTTCTTTATAACATAATTTCTCTGCTGGGTATAATCTTATCTGAACAATAAAGCTATGAATTTATTTTATATAATTATTTGTTTATGACTATTAACTCAAATTCCTATAGCAATATGGTTATGTAATCAGAAACAACCTTGGCACGCAGAGCTGCCTCTTCAAATAAATGTAAAAGTACCAAATATGAACATTTAATTCTTCCATTATCAGCATGAAGATAATCTCACGCTGAAACATATTACCATCAAACATAAATTATTGTAAACAAACTAGGTATCTTGTGAACCATGAAACTTCAGTACATCACTTGCACTGTACATAATATGCATTATTCATACCTCTAAAGATTTCAAAAATCTGAAAGGATAATTGAAAAAGAGTTGGTATTTTTGGAAGGAATATAATGAAAAAGTGTTGACAAATACCACCAGGCCTATGTATCAAGACATGCTCAAAAATTAACTATGAATAACTCCTAGAACAGCATGACTAAGAAAGGAAGACGGTATTGCTGAATGACAAGAAGTAGAAGAAGGCAAGTTAAGTAGCCACTGAATTAGAATTATGCCTTATGTACACCTTACATAGATTTATCATTACCCCTGCAAATGCTAGTAGTGGCCTTTGCTAATGTGAGCAGATGTTATCATCAGCCTACAACGTCCAGGCATTGCAGAAGCCTTCTGTTCCTTGTTGTGGCTTGAAAAGGTTGGCTGAATATCAATTATCAATTATCTCATCTATTGTTTATTTTATATGAAGAAATTGGACATTCTCAGTTTAATGCAACCTTGAGGACACAACCAAAAGACCCATACGAAGACCCAATTCTATGTGAACAACATACAAAGGATAGCTTGTAAAATGTATGCTAGAAAACCATAATACGTAACAGTACAGCTATTCCTCAACTAAAATTGGACCCAAATTTTCTGCTGCTAAGTGAGACATTTGTTAACTGAGTTTTTTATGACTTTACTTGCCATGGTTGCTTAGTGAACCACTGTTATTGTTAAGTTAGTAACACGGCTATTAAGTGAATCTGTCCTTCCAATTGTCTTTGCTTGTGACAATGTCACAATATGACAGGATACTGCTACCATCATAAATACAGTTGCCAGTTGGAAATGTCTGAATGTTGATCACATGCTACAACAGTTGTAAAAGTGAAAAACACTCATAAGTCACTTTTTTCAGTGCCATTGTAGCTTTGGATGATCGTGAAATGAATGGTTGTTAAATCAAGTATTACCTATAATCAGCCCTGCTGGGAACAAATAAATCTCATTTAGAATGTAAAAGATTCAAGGAGTAAAACTGCAGGAGAGGTTGAATGATTAAAGTATTTTGGCAAGAACAAATGTGAAATTTATATAACTTGAGAACATAAGTGAGCTACAGACCGATTGAGTCAGCAGTGGGAGGGTTTAAAAATTAAGTAAGAGTTCTTCTATTTCAGAAAGAGAGTGACAGAATAAGTTTATTGTGATAAGCAAAAGAACTATGAAAATATGGACAAGTAATCCATATAAACAAACTCATATTAAATATCTTTAATATTGTTACAATTATGAAATCTAAACATTTTTGTCACAAGCAAGGTTAACTTTAGGCCAAAACTGAGCAGGCTCTCGCTTAGCATGCCAAAAACTAGGCAATATCAACACCACCTCTTCATCTGAATCATTACAAAGTGCTAATCTTCACATCAGCAGGATGTGGAGTCATCAGTCAATGTGGCCTAGGGGCATCTTGTACTGGCACTGGTCACAAATGGCTCAGTGGCCACACCAGCTTTTACACACTTTGTTAAGGAACACACTCCAAGAGAGGAGGCGGCTTGCAGGATTATCTGGTGGGGGGGGGTCAAAAAAGTCAAGATAGTGGACACAACTGATTGATGGAGTTAATGTCCCTTCTTAGGATGCCCAGGTTGCAATTTCACATCTGGGATTTAACTGATCTCAACATTAATGCTTGCAAACATAATATTTAGACAACTTGTAAGTAGCACTCTTGTATTTTCTACTGAAAGACTGAACTTTTACTGTTTTAGTAAAAGTTTAGTAAAAGTAATGCCATCTTGATACAAGTTTGTCTTGCTTTTCATCCAACACATCCCAAAACCAACACATTGGTTTTTAAGTATTACCTCTAAACTGGATAATATCTCTTCCCAGTTCACTCCCATGCCATTACTTATTCCAGAATTCTTGCTAATCCACCTTATAATACAAATGAAATAATATTCTATATAGATTTATATTTATATTTATATTATATATTTATATTTATACTTTATATTTGGCATTGTTCTTGTTACTAATGTCATGATGTTTTTCATTACCTGCTAACTGAGTTTAACAAGACTTAGCTTGTGAGCTAGCAAACAAATACCTATGTCAGAAGCAAATTAAAGTTCAATTTCAACTATCTCAGTACAATAACTACGTTAACCCATCAAACTATTTTGAATCTATCAATTCAACCATATATTATGTCTATGTTGCCAGAATATCAGCCCTCCAATTTCTGGGCTGTAAAAATTGGGATAATCACCAGATGTAGAAAAAGTAAAGGTAAAGGTCTCCCTGCAGGTTTTACTATGCTATTCGTGACCAACATTTGGGACAGTGCTCATCTCTGTTCCTTAAACCAAAGAGCCAGGTTGTCCAGAGATGTTTCTGTGGTCATGTGGCCAGCATGACATCACACCACAGCACAGAACATACGATGAAACACAGAATGCTGTCACCTTCCCCTATGCTTACATGAGGTACTATTCATCTACTTGCATTTATATGCTTCCAAACTGTTTAGCACGAGCTGGGACAGGTGACGGCAGCTCACTCCATCTTGTAGCACTCAGGTCTCAAATTGCCGAACTATAGACCTTCAATGGTCTAAGATTCAGCATCTTAACCATTGAGCCACTGTGTTTCATAAATCACCAGCAAAGAAATTAAAAAGACTTTTATAGGCCAAATGCAATACACATTAACAATAATACCTGCCTGAGCAGGGGGTTGGACTTGATGACCTCCAAGGTCCCTTCCAGCTTTACTATTATTATTATTATTATTATTATTATTATTATTATTATTATTATTATTATTATTATTATATGTAAGTTAATAGAAACTAAAAGAAACCCATTTATCAACAATATGCAATTAGCTCTCATTTAATATTATTTTCATGAAAGAAACTGAAGCTTTAGTTAAATAACAATGACATTTAGACAGAAATAGCTCATAGTATTGCAGAAGACATAAAAGGCACTTTAGAAAATGCTTTCTCTTTGGATTTTACAAAACTATGCAAGTAGTTATCGATTAGAGACTGGCCCATTTAGTGGCTGCAATTATGACAGTGATGAAAATGTCTTTGCAACCAGTCTTCACATTTGTAATTTTGGAGGTCTCACTTAGTGACCACTTCATTTTACAACCAAGTTGCCTGTCCCAATTGCATTTGCTAAATAAGGACTACGTATATACTGGTAAATGATCAGGTTTATCATGTGCAGATTTTCTTTTCTTAGGAAAGCTCAACTGGTAAAAAAAAAATGACAGTCTTTGAATAAGCAGAGAGACAAGTTCAGACTTTTCCCCCAAATCTTTGCAGGTAAAAATAATGTTCCGCTGATGTTTTATTTGCATTTGTGTCTCTTCTGAGTTAAAGTCAGTCTAAACATGATCTCTCCTTCAGACGACCCCCCAGCATCCTTGTACAGCACAGTATTAAAAAACAGCATAAAATATTATACCACATATGAATATAAATTATTTTTCTCTGTCCCTTTGAATTATTTTCTTTGTGAAGCATGGTTATTTTTTAAACAGTGTTGCTGCTCCTTGCACATATCTCAAATGAAAAGTAAACATCTTTTACATATATTATATTGGTAAAACACATTTTTCCAACTTTTTCTATGCCGTCTGTCACTTTAATTTTACCCTTGACTCAGAAAAATAGTCCTAATTTCCAAATCTCACCTACACTAGTCTGTGAGTCATGCCCAGGTACTGAGACAGCCAGTTTCCCAAGCTCCCTCCTTGCTGAAGCCATTTGAAGCACATCAGGCGTAGAAGATCTGAAGGACATTCACCGAGGATCAGATGTTGTCCCTTCTTATTAACAAATCCAGTTTATTCAAAGAGATCTTACAGCTTTCCCTTCAGGATATATGTTTATCTTTTTTTTTTCTCCTGGTTCAAGCTAACAAGATTTTGTGGTTGTTGTTCTTTTGGGAAAGAATACGATGCAACCTGGAAGCAGTGGTGGGAAAATGAAGAAAGAAAAATGACAGGTAATGTTTAAAAGCTCTCAGATGGGGATTCTATGGGCAGTCATGATTGAATTTTGTGTTGTTTCATTATCTCCTTATTCAACAAGGAAATGTAATTTGAAGTGAAGCGCAATTAGTGATAAGGAAAGTGTTTTTGAATGTAGAATTTGATTGATCTCTATAGATAAATCTATATTTATTTTTGTTGAATTAATTATATAGAAAGAAAAATAAGTTACTCTATATGTAAAAAGAAGATAAAGTTAAAAATTGTATTACAGGCAAATTAGCATTCTATTGTAAAATGTATATGTTCCATTTTTTTTTTAAAAAGTGAAAGAATGCTCTTAGATCTACTTGTTCTTGTTCGAGAAAAACAACATTGGATTTTAATTCTCTCAATTGTACTAAAGCTACAGAAGGAGTTCTGAAATCATGCTAGCACATGTCAGATTGGAAATTCTAGAAGCTACCATAAACAAAATATTAACATACCACATTTTTAAATATCCATAAATGTAGCTGGTAAAGCTGAACTCTTATTTTAAAAAACAGGACAGCACTGTAAACTGCTCTAATGGGAAATTTATCTGAATGTTATCTAATTTTCAGGAAATTTAGAAATAAATCCTGTAAAATATTAAAGCTATCCTACTTTGCTTATATTTAATATTTCTCCCCTTTTTATGTAAAGATAAAGCTTCTATTACACATTATTCTGAATAATTTTACAAACATTGCACATTAGCAGATACATTGCTTTGGGATTTTTTTAATCAAATTAATCAAATCTATTAAATATGTAGAATTATTCCATACGTAAACATCATTTGTTGATTCCTTCAAAAGTAGAACCAAAGACCAAGTGCCTTTCTTTATAACTTATTTGTTTATTCTGTGGTTTTAAAGTAACATTGTGAAACCAGATCTCCTTCTTTGTTGCGAAAAATTACATGAATGTGTGGAGAGTCAATAAAACTTTTTGGCTCACAGTGGCATATGAGATGAGCCATAGGGATAGTACACAAGTCCTGAACATTCTCAGCCTGTACTTTCTTATTTCCTTTTGTCTGCAACCTTCCCCGTTACATACAAGTCGTCTTTCAGTGTCTCCATTCTTTAATTATGATTGCCTTTCCTCCACTCCCAACCCTAAAGGAACTCTGGACAGAGTGAAGTCACTCAACTATACAATTTCTTATGCAAGTAATAGCATGCAATATTCTCTGGATTTACTCCACTTCCAAGCTACTTGGCAATTTAGGACATGTTGTTCAGTACAATATGCTCTTCATAAAGGTATTACAGTGCCCAGTACAGTCTCACAACCTATTCTGCATGTATTTATACCAGGAAAAAAGCAGAGATAGCTGTGAAATGCCAAATGAATAAAGGCAAGTTTGTAATGATTTATTGGAACTAATTTTGTCTGTGCTTTAATTTGTCCCAGAATAGAACAGCTTTTCAATTTGCAGAACTTATTTTAAGTAGATAGATTAAAGAAGATAGGAGCTGAGAAATTAGAGGACCTTAGAGTGAATACGAGCTATGTTGTGTTTATTGCTCATCTCTGAGTATCTTTTTAATGGCTTGCAAAGTTAAATAAAAATAACTACAGAATGGTAGATTAAGAATGGATTATTTTAGCAACCAAGTCAATGAATGATGAGATCATTTTATTAGAAAGATTTCATTTTAAGCTTGTTGGTCAGATACCATTTGCAATGATATGAAAGTTAAATGGTCTACTTGAGGCAATCCTCAGATATTGGACTCCTTTAAGTATAAATAGAAAACATATACTGTAAATAGAATTCTGTTTCTAAAGCAGAATATACCTAGAGGTGGGTTAATCATTTAATAAATGCAATGTTATTTATCCATTAGATTTTCTTTTACTACCTTGAAATAATTCAGTTACAAATGTTTACCTTTTTTTTGTTCTAGCCTACACCTTTCAATTCTGCATTCTTAAAATCTGAAAAAGAAAATTAGAAGTTCCTTGTGCATTATAAAGTAAAATGTATTTACAGAAATGTTATTCAATTCACATGAAAAGATTTATGAGGCCAATGAAAATAATCTAATTTCTTTTAGTCATAGTTTGTTGCTTCCTAAAACATTAAGCAAAATTTGTCCTACTTTGTTCCACAATTAGAAATTAACTAAGAAAAAATAGACCAGTGAAAGAAGGCATGAGTAGAGATTCCAAGATCTGAATTAGTGAAGGGTCTTGACTTTGGAAGAAGAAATCAAAAGAATGCTATGGGTCATGGTCCAAGGATCAAAAGGTGTTCCCCTAAGCAGCACAAGCCCAGTGTTTGTAGCTTATTCGATATGGGGAATTATTACTATATCAAGTTTTTATTCTTTCCAAACCACATTGTAAAAAATCTAAATATTTTAATAAAAGAGAAACTATTCACAAAAATAAAAAATGGAAATTAACATGGTCAATATTGTCCACTAATGTCAGGGTCTTAAAATAAAAATATTCCTAAGCATGCGTCCCAGAGTTTTTACGACATAAAGGAATAGAATTACAAGAATTTTAACAACTGAACTATTTTTGTATAGAACTGAACAGAACAGAGCAGAACAGAATAAAATGGAGCTAGAAGGACCTTGGAGGTCTTCTAGTACAGCCCCCCGCTCAAGCAGGAGAACCTATACCATCTCCGACAAGTGGTTGGATCCTTCTGCTATTTCCTTGAAACAGCTTTTGTGTCAAGTGATAAAGGGGAAGGCTTTTTCACTGAAAATGGATGACCTTACATGTATCCATTTACAAAAACAATTCTTGAAAACTGCACTACCTTAAGAATTTATATCTTAGTAATAGTAATAGTAGTAAAGTTGGAAGGGAACTTGGAGGTCATCTAGTCCAACCCCCTGCTCAGGCAGGAAACCCTACACCTTTTCGGACAAATGGCTGTCCAGTCTCTTCTTAAAAACTTCCAGTGTTGGAGCATTTACTGCTTCTGGAGGCAGGCTGTTCCACTGATTAATTGTTCTCACTGTCAGGAAGTTTCTCCTTAGTTCTAGGCTGCTTCTCTCCTTGATTAGTTTCCACCCGTTGCTTCTTGTCCTGCCTTCAGGTGCTTTGGAAAATAGCTTAATTCCCTCTTCTTTATGGCAGCCCCTGAGATATTGGAATACTGCTATCATGTCCCCCCTTGTCCTTCTCTTCGTTAAACTAGACATACCCAATTCTCGCAACCGTTCCTTATATGTTTTAGCCTCCAGTCCCCTAATCATCTTTGTTGCTCTTCTCTGTACTCTTTCTAGAGTCTCAACATCTTTTTTACATCGTGGTGACCAAAACTGGATGCAGTATTCCAAGTGTGGCCTTACCAAGGCATTGAAGAGTGGTATTAATACTTCACGTGATCTTGATTCTAATGCAGCCTAGCACTGTGTTGGCCTTTTTGGCAGCTGCAGCACAATGCTGGCTCATATTTAGGTGATTGTCTACTAGGACTCCGAGGTCCCTCTCACAGTTGCTACTATTGAGCATGGTGCCACCTATGCTGTGCATTTGGTTTTTCTTGCCTAAATGTAGAACCTTGCTTTTTTCACCAATGAATTTCATTTTGTTAGTTAGTGCCCAGTGTTCAAGTCTGTCCAGATCCTTCTATATCTTAAGCCTTGATTGACAAAGAAATATATCATTCATGTGAAATTTTATAAGAATTTTACAATGAATATCTTTAATCCATAAATTCCTTTTTGATGCAATTTTATATAAAGCAATTTTATATAAATCTTAAGATTACAGACTGATGTAAAAGGAAACCTGGTCAGTTGGTAGCATAGTCAAAAAAACCCAATATAAACTGAAACTAAAATTATCATTCCTATTGTTTCTTAAAGCCAGCATTGCCTTACTTTGTTTCTTGGTTGTTCTGCAAGTTTCAGGCACAGAATTGTCTTTCCTAGAGATAGTCAATAATATTCTTTTAATAGAATCCCAGTATGTATGTAAAAGTAGTGTTATATTAATGTGTTGTGGATGGATGCTTTTACTGCTTTAGGATAAAGTGGCTAACATTTCTGATGACTTGGAACAAATTTGCACCCTCCCAATCCCATACTTAGAATTTTCAATTAGCAAAATCATATTAACTAGGTATCCTGGAAATTCTTATCCCAACTTATCTGGAGATCACTAGTTAGAATGTTAACTTAGTATGCATGCAACAATGAGCCCATCTCATCAATCACTGATATTAAGCATATTCTAAGCGCGTTGTTTGTTGGTGTAAACAGCAAGGCAGAATATACATTCAATTATAAATATTTAACAAATAACACATTCAAAATATGCTTATTTTGAACACGTTCAGAATGACATCAGCGAGAAATTTTTAAAAGACTATGCTTCAGTAAATCTTATTCAAAAACACAAACACAGATTCCTAGTTTATGGATAAAAGGTATATTGTGGAGCCTTGGTGGTTGCCCTGAGCTTGTTATTTTCTTGCACATATTTAATTATCCCATTAGGTAACTTCATCACTGCTAGCTAAGTGCTAGCACAGTGTAGCACTGATGATGTTACCTAGTTCAGTAATGGAACATCTGCAAGAAAACAACCAAGCTCAGAGCACTAAGGACCCCATAATTCTACCCTGAACTACAAATATTCTCTTCTAAGAGATACACTGTACATCAGGGGTCTCTTTAAGACCTGTGGATTTCAACTCCCAGAATTTACAAAGAATTTACCAAAACAACTGGAGAAGATCCAAAATAAAGATTCTTGTTTTATTGGATAGAGTGTGTCAACTTTTGAATGTTGGTCTTGCCCCAGTGCAAGTCTTCTTTCATGTCCCCAAATCTTTCTGTCTGCCATTTTTGGAGATTCTTTTTTAATAGTTGCATAGCATACGAGCAAAGCCTGTAACTTCTTTGTTGCAGGTAGGAAAACCTTTAGACTCCATTCCTGAAAGAATAGGCTTAATTTTCTGATAAATGGATGTTTTGTGTTTCATCATACCCATTAAGGCAGTCATTTTATG